GTATCATTCGTTTCACACTCTTCGCTGGTGATTTGAACAAGAATAGATGTTTATCCTTTGCTTCCTGTTTAGGATTGTGTTTCTGTTTCCTTCTAAAATTTTCTCATTCTCTTTCACTCCCAATAACACCTTTGCACCTTTGGGTCTTGCTTGGGCTTAACTGGAATATATATATATATATATATATATATATATATATATATATATATATATTTTCATTGGTTTTTAATCAAACATGCGCATATTGGTAAATGAAACTTCCTATATCTGAGTACCTTCTGCTAATACCAACCACTTACAAAGTTGTTTGTTATGTTATTACTTTAATTTTTTTAAATATCATCTTTCATGTGTTGGCTTTTATCATGTTTTACATACTTCAAAACTATCCGAAATAATATATCTAATCTTAATAATTTTAAAATAATTATGATCACATCCAAAATTATTATTTTTATGATCAGAACAAAAAATGTTGATAATAACAATAATTCTGAAGTAGGCTTATAAAAAAAACTGTCACAGATGTTTCTTACAATATATTGGTGAAACTTGCAGAAATTAAAAAATACATATTTATGAACTTAATAAAGATCGTCTACATAACAATTTATCCAATGCATTAGTTATACAGAGAAATAATTTCAACCACAACTTTGATCTAAAAAATGCTGTACTTATTAAAAGAGAAAATAACTTACTTAGACAAAATGTTCTTGAAAGTGCAATTATTGATTCTTGCCAATATGTTAACTTAAGCCCTGGATTTTTACAAATCTTAAAAGAAATACTCATTTCTCAAGCCATTTCATCTCAAGCAAGACAATAATGCCACTAACACACAAGGGGGTTATTGAGAGTGAAAGAAACTGAGAAAGAGAACAGAATTCAGGAAGACAAAAGATGGAATTGAGGTTGCATTTAAATTTTCAAAGATTGTAGGTGACAGGGAAGGAAGTAGCCAGAAGAGAGTTCCACAAACAAGAAGTGCAAACAAAGAAACTATTAGAATAGAACGTATGGTTATATCTACCTAATTCATTGTCAATCTATTAGTATTCTTAAATTCATGTGGACAAGCTACCAAAGAGGAAATTACAATTGCCATGAAAATATTTATAGAAGAAGGAAATTGATGGTGTTACAGTAGTGGGAAAGTGACTAAAACCAAGATACTAGGTGAGAGACTGATAACATTTGATATCCATAATAATTTGTAAAAATTAAAAGAAAATGTTTAACTCAAGACCATGAAATATTTGAAATAAATAAATAAATAATTAAACAAAATAAAATATAAATAAAATATATAAAAATAAAATATATAAAAATAAAATATATAAAAATAAATAATAATTACATTAAAAAATTAAAAGAAAATATTCAACATTTACTCACATTCATTTATTAGGCAATAAATTACATCTCTTAGCATCATCTATAGTTTACCTTTCCTAACACAGCAAGCTTTAAAAATATTTTAGGGTGTTCTGAAATTCAATATTTAAAACTTAATGATATTTTCCTCCATGTTACTTTTTTGTATAAGTAAAAGTTATAAAATAAAATCTCTTAATAAAGTTCTTCAAGAAACAAAACATTGATATAGAAAATTTTCACTTTTGTCTTTTCTTTTATATATATATATATATATATATATATATATATATATATATATATAATTGTGTATTTGGGTAGCAATCCATCCTTTATACAAGTTTCATTAAAGACAACTGACAAAGTACTGCTGTTAAGATTTTTATTTAATTTTTCTTATGTTTGTGTATGTTTTTTTTTGTAGACATAAAATATGTAAAAATTGTCTGAATGTTCTGTATGTCTGAGTGCTTTTATGACTATTCCTTTAACCATTTTACAATTTTTATACACTTTATGTCCAAAAAAGAAAAAAATTAGATGAACATATGAAAAAATAAATTAAAAGCTTAACCGTAGTACCTTGTCAGTCATCCTTAATACGTATTGTTATACCTGATGTACCTATTCTATTATTAATAGACTCTCCCACACATAATAAGTAGTAGTAGTAGTAGCGGTCGCCAGTTGGGCTCAGTGGTGTTGAGCGATTCAGTTGATATCGGACATTGAAGTACCAACCATCACAACTAGATTGCTGCGTCATTAACTCTTATTTCAAGTTCCTAACGTTTTGTACGTCGAACCTAATTTAGGACGACTTATTGAAATACAAGCCTCCACTGTGAAAACTACTCTACAACACACACACACACACACACACACATATATATATATAATTATTATTATTCTGATAAATCTTATATTTAGTGTGTACTTGGGATTGGATCTGTATTCCCTTTTATTCTGGGAAACCACTTTCATTCAAAATGTTCTTTACCATTAAGCCATGAGAAGCCATTTACCACTTTCAAGCAAAGTGTTAAAATCTCCCCATTTACCATAATAAAGTTCCTCAAGGAATGAGACATGTTGGAATTGAAATGTTTTTCCTTTTGTATTTTCTTTTCTTAACATATAATATTTTTTTTTAATTTCTAGGATGAGGAGTTGTCATTAGTTGTATTATTTATACAAGGACTATTGTCCCAATCTTTGTTGTTGTTATCAGCATTTCAGCTGTTGTGTCCTCTGACCTTCATCTGGTTCTTGTTGATCCGAGTAACTGTCAGAAAATTTCAAACTAGACCCTTTATTTCATTTACAGGAATGGATTGTTCTCATTCCTGGCTCATGTCCAGGAATATCTCACTTAGTTCTTATTTAGTTCTACTCAGTTATTTCTTACCCTGTTTCCACTGAGTCATAGGCAATTATGGCCCACCACAATTTCCTGTCCTTTGTAGCTCTTAATAAATTTTATCTTTTTGCTGTCTTTCCTAAACCCTGTCCTGCCATCCATTTATACAAGCTTATTAGGTAGCTTATATGCTTCTTTCCTCTGTTCCCATTGCCTTCAATATCTCCTGTGAGTGTCAATTTTTCTTCATTATGTGCCATAGAAATTTCAAGTTTCTCTTTCTGATGTTAAGTATAAGTGTTCATTTTGTTTCCATTTTCTCCAAAACTTTGTTGTTGCTCATATGTTCAATCCATAGTATTCTCAGCAATCTTCTGAAAAACCACATATCTCTTGTTTCAAGTCTTTTCTTTATGTTTGATGAGATTGTCCCCTGGACTGAAAAAAGGGTTCTCTTTCAAACATCCTGGTGGATACCAGAAGTGACATACAACTCAAGAAAGCTGAATAATACACTATCTGATGTACTGTAATAAAAAAAAAAAAACAAGACTAAAAATGTTAGTAAAAATATAGCCATCGAATAACATAGTCATGACTATAGGGCAGAATGAGGCAAAATTATTTAGTTTCAGAAAATATTGATGTAATTCCATTAGTGTCTTATACTAAATACAGAATTCATTTTTATAGCTTGAGACAAGAGATAATCAAAGAAATGTGGTTCTACAGAAGGATGCTGAGGATACTGTGGATTGAACATGTGAGTATCAATGAAGTTTTGGAGAAAATGGAAACAAAAAGGAAACTAATACTTAATATCAGGAAGAGACAGTTTAGGTTTCTAGTTTATATAATAAAGAAGGAAGGCTTGGAAAATCTGACACTCACAGGACAGATAGAGTATAAGAGGGACAGAGGAAAACAATGCATAACGTACTTAATGAGCTTGAGTAAATAGATGGAGGAACAGAGCTTAAGAGAAATAATAGTAAGATAAAATTTATTAAGAGCTACAAGGGACAAGATGTTGTGGAGAGCCATGATCGCCTATGTCCTGAAGGGACGTGGCACATAAAGAAGATGACTTTTCTCTTATAGAGACACGTTAAGCGAATCGTTTGAGTGAAAGAATTTCTTCTTAATTGATAGCCATAATATAGAGACAAAATAATGTGTTTGAATGCTGGACAATTTCCTTACAGATGAAGAGGAAACCTGAGGCAACAGAGATGTGGTTCTACAGAAGGATGCTGAGAATACCATGGATGAGCAAAAAGAAATTTTTTAAAGAGAATAGAAACAAAAAGGAAACTTATACTTAGAATCAGAAAGAGACAGATGAACTTTCTGTGACACATAATGAGAAAAGATGACTTGGAGAATTTAACACACACAGGAAATATTGAAGGAGCAGGGGAAAACGGTAAGTAATCTACCTAATGAGCTTTGTGCAAATGGATAGCAGAACAGCGACTGAGAGAAATAGTAAAAAGATAAACATTGCTAAGTACTACAAAAGATAATGGAGAGTCATTATTGTTTGTGTTCTATTTATTTAACCCAAGGGTCAGTAAAACTTTTGGAAGTAGGCTAAAAGTGGTAGTGTCTTTTGGACTTACAATCAAAGAAACTTAGAAGTAAAATTATGAATATACATGAAAATAAGATGACTGTTTTTAATCATATTAAAAACTATTTTCTGTTATAAATAAGTGTAAATAGTTATTTTAGTGGTAATTTTAAAGCTGAAGACTCAATCAGAATGATAAATTTTTTTATCTAATTTTTTAATAAAATAAGATGAATATGTTTTAATTTTGAATAAAAAGTTAATTTAATTTTTTATAAAATAAGATGACTATAAAAATTTAATTTAATTTTGAATAAAAATTAATTTAATTTTGAATAAAATAAGATGACTATGTTTTTTTTAATAATATTAAATACTATTTTCATTATAAATAATTGTAAACTCTAATACAGTTCTTTTAAAACTGAAGACTCAATGAAAATTTTTTTTGATATAAAAGCTAAAATTGTGATTCAAAATTTGTGTTTCCTGTCATCAAATTTGATTGTAACTGTTGATCAGTTAAGACTGGCCTCCCTGCACATATTTTTAGTTGGGTGATTGCTGGGTGGTTAGAGCTTTAGCATTCTGATCATGAGGCCAAGTTTCAAATCTCACCATGGTTGATTTGTCAGCGACCTGTCTTCTTGATGATATCAGATTGGGGAGATGATCCCAGTATATGATGGCTTACGGCCACATCACATCGAAACACTGGTTCCTGTATGATCACTGAAGTTAAGCAACGTTGAACCTAGTCAGTACTTCGATGGGTGACCAATTGGAAATACCAGGTGCTGTAAGCTTGGATGTGCGGGTGGTATAATGGATAATGACTCAGAATTGTTCATTGGAGAGCCAAGTTCCAATTCCATTTGTGTTCATTATATTCACTTATGTGCAAATACCTTTGGGAAAGGTATGAATCCACCCCGTCTCCCCTAGTATTATCTCTAAAGATTAAATTCTTACAATCTAAAAATATTTTCTGGCTTTAAATAGCTTGCAAAGGGTTGATAAGCCGAAGGAAATGAATCAATCAAAACCCAGTAGGAAGCATCACTAGAAAATACTTGAAAACCATATTACAGGTTGAATCAAGCCTTGTGAGTGAAATTCGGCAGACAAAACTGTTCAAAAGTTGTCAGTTGTGTTAGCAAAAAATACAAATCATTGTGACCAAGGGTTTGTGTATACCGGCCTTGATCACACCAGATTGTCTGATCTCTACCAGAAACTATAACTAACATCTACTCAGTATAGTTGCAGTATAAACTATAGGTTGGTTCTGTGGGCAGAAACACAAATGAGCCTGAGCAGACAGGCATATTTGGAAACAAGCAGTTAGTCATTGTTATAAGCAAATTTAGCATGTTTTATCTTTGAAAATGTCTACTCATCTATGCTATACCAAATGTTGAAATTATTACACAACCAATAAAATCCCATCAGAAGGTTTGTTTGATAAACAATAATTACAAGTGCAAATACTTCCAAAATACTTGTGGACCTAGTTGTAGACCTACCATGTGTTATTTTTGGACCATTTAGAAAATAACAATAATAATTCCCTTCACCACTCTCACAAATTCGATTAAAAAATTTTCACAAGTCAGTGTGAAATTATTTTTAACCAATGAAAACCTTATATTCAAAAAGTTCACACCTCTATGTGAAATTAGATTTTGAATCTCCTTATGTATATAAAATAGAAGCCTACTGCTTCTCAAGGCTCACAACAATTTGGGAGGTCAGTATGTTCTACATGCGCGCTCGCACACACACACACATTGGTAGAGGGGCAGGCAACAGCCACTAAAGCCTTGTCCACACACACAATAGAAGGGATTAACCAGCAACTGCCTACTAAGCCTTTGTCTACAAACTCACAAATCACATTAGGCTGTCATAAAGTAAGTTTGTTCAACATTTCACAGCATACTAAGAACACTTAATTACATTATAAAACAAATCTCACTGCAAGGAAAATTGAACATTTTATTGCCATTGTATATTTCTGAAAAGAATATGTAAATGTTATTTCAACTGACATTCTGCTTCTACTTTTCCTCCAGAAAATAATGTTTTGTTTCATTTAAAAGATGTGTTGTTGTTGTTGTTGTTAAATGTTTGGAATCCTGACACTCAGATAGCAACAAAAACCTGGGTAGACGGATCCCAACACATAGTTCATCTAGAAGGCATTTTTAAAAGTCAGTTAATTCTTTCTTTGTTTTGGCTGATTGATTGATTGTGAGAATTTTTTTGAGATAATAATGATTTTTACTGATACAAATTCTACTAATTAACCCATAGCTAGTGAAGAAAATGTTGATTCATACCTTTTCCAAGGGTATTTGTGTGTAAGTGAACATAACAAAATTAATTTGAATTGGTATGTGGTTTTCTGACTTCCAATTATGAGCTGTTATCCATTACACCTCACACACATTCAAGCTTGCAGCTATCTGCTATCCCCAAGTGTCTAGGTAATGACCAGGCTTGATGTTGCTTAACTTTGGTGATAGTACTAGAACTAGTGTTTCAACATGATATTGTCATAAGTCCTCCTTTGTATTTAGTTTCAACATGTTGTTGGAATTCCATTTGATGATGTCTAATTGCAGATCCTCAATGATGCATAAACAGAAGACATTTTATTTCATATGAAAATAAAAATAAAATAATAATCATACATTCTATCTAGTTGATAAATTGGTTAAAATATCACAGTAGGCCCTGTTACAAATAGTAAGTTTGTTGTATATAAATGCTCAGTGAATATTATTTTGTTCCAATTTTATAAATCCTAACAATTTACTTTCTAATTGACACAATGATATTTTGATGCATACAATAATTTACATCAGTCATGGGTAAATTGCAGTCCACAAGGCAAATGCAGCTCATTTAGCCTTCTGAATGGCACACCTAATTTAATGTGAAAAATAATAGCTGCTATCCATTACTCCACTGTGCTATGGTGGAGTAATGGATAGTGGCTCGGATTGAGGAATCAGAGAGCCGAGTTCGAATTCCATTCGAATCCATTACATTCACTTACGTGCTAATACCCTTGGGAAAGGTGTGAATTCTCTTCTTCTTCCCCCAACTATGGGTAAATAGCAGGACAGACTGGGTTTTATAGCCTTGGATGGCAACTGGTCTACTGCATGTTTTGTTTTAGAAACGAGAATCGTTCATATTAATCTTTTTCTCTGGAGAAGAAATATATTTTTTCCTTTAAAAAAATATTTTTTTTTGTATTTTCAAATGAATAAATTAGAAACAAATCACATGCAGCAGTATGTATTAATCACAACGTCATTAGTGATAACATTATATGAAATCTTCAATTTTTAAATTGTAGAAAATATTTTTTCTCCAAATAAAAAATATCAACTTTTTCCTCCATTTCTAAAGCAAATGCTTATGTGTATGATCTTCTGTAGTGAAATCTTTGCTTTCAATGAAAAATTACTTTGAATATTTTTATTAGTGCAGCCTGCCTTATGATGAGCCATATCTCATGTGGCCCACAGATCAGAAATGATTGCCCATGCATGGTTTACCTTTTAGCATATATTATAATTAAGTATAAATATTTAGAGATAAATTAATTTTTATTTATGAAAATTTTATAATATATACAAAAAAGTAAAAATAAAAGTAAAATAGATTGGGATCAATGGAATTTATATTTAAACTAAGACGAACCTTATACGTCTTCACCTGTGTAGAATCTTTCACTGAGATTAAAAGTAAAAACAGAATGGAAAGAGTGATCTCCCTTGTTTTAATGTCAGTTATAAGACGTTGACATTTTGGAATGACATAAGCAATTAAATCCAAAGGCATAAATCACATTTGTAGCGAAAATGTCAGAAAGAACAAAGTAAATTTCTTGCATAAATATATTGTGTAAAATAAAGAAATTAATTATCAAGCAAATGATTTTAAAGCAGAAAATGCATCATTTACAAGGCATTTCTAAAATTTAATTAACTCCCACTTTGTATTTGCCTTTATTGCTAGTTGATCACTTCTAATTGCAGATCTAATGGGCGGTCATCAATGATCTTCTTCTTCTGTGTACCATATCCCTCCATAATTTTCTGTTGTCACTCCTAAACCTTGTCCTGCCATCCATTCACTCAACCTCATTAGGTGTGTTATTCATTGTTTTCCTCTGTTACTTCAATCCTCAATCTGTCCTGTGAGTATCAGATTTTCCTCAGTATGACAATAAACTACATCCAGCAGCAATGCCTCTTATCAGGAGATTGGATGTTCTGAGGACTGTGGAACCACTTATTAACTGCTGTTGTTCCCAGATCCCCTCTGTCCTGGGGTGGTAGCACCTGTCTGGGTTTCAGTCACGGCAAATAGTAACCCCTCCCTCAAACAAAAGTCAACAGTACATTTTTATAATAAAATTACCATCAGTACATCTTTGTAGGGAAATTCTCAGCAATATCTTTAATACCAACAATACATTTTATCTACAAACTATATATGTAAAAAAAATATACATTTACTCTGAAAATATAAAATTATGTACAAAATATCTGTAGTTGATGGTATAAAACTGCATTTGAAATATTTAGATTTTGGCCTTAAATAACTGATAGAGGTTGATATGCTGTTAAACAAATTCAGTCAAAATATACTCATAATGCTTCAGCTATTGCACCTCTGGCCTTCTTCAGGTGTCTGTTTTCATACTCAGTAAAGTCATTGGAATTTCAAACCAAACTATCCATGGGAATAGATTGTTGTCATTACCCTTTTCATATCTGTACAGGCTGGTTTTATTTGCCTTTGTGTTACCTGTTTATTTCATCTGCTGAACCAGTCTTTTCAGCACTATCAGATGAAGGGATTAAACTCACAACTGCCAGATGTTTTAATCAATACTTGAATTTGCTAAGCCATTTGTCTCTTGAACAATCTAGTGTTGAGACATTTGAGCCTTAAATCGCATATCTGTAGTCAGGGGGTAACACTGTATGAGTGACTAGGCTTATGGTCATATCACATTGATTTAGGAAACACTGAGCCTGGTCCGTACCTAGAAGGGTGACTATTAAGGAATACCAGGTGTTGTAAACTTGGATATGCAGTAACAACTTGGAATTAGAAATTGGAGAGACAAGCTCCTATTCTAGTCAGGTTTGTTATATTCATTTATGTGCAAATACCCTTGGGAAATGTATGAATCCATCTCTTCTCCTCCCATCTAGGGGTTAATTAATGAAAAATCATTCAGTTTGTATGTGTGTGTGAATATTTGAGGAGTTGTAAAGTTCCCTATTGCTGGACTGAAGTAGACAGATTTTATGCATGCATTTTCCTTCAATGTTTCTCCAAGTTAATCAGTTTTTAAGGTTTTATGATTTTATTAAGAATTTTTGTTTTTGAGCTCAAAATCCGTTTTTTATTCACATGCTTGCACCTGTTGCACCTGCTGCATAAGTCAGTGTTCCACTGCTATCTTCTGCTGCATTGTTTCCCAGATTAAATCTGAAAATTAAACAATTCTGTAGATGCATTTTATACTCGGCCATGATTTTTGTCAAAATAAAATATGAGGGGGATCTTGGTGCAGCCTCCATTCTGATAAAGTGGTTGAACATCAGAATCAAAATAAAAAAGAACTTCTTTGTTGATCCAAGAATTTTTCAGAATTCCTTGAGTATACAATAATAGTGGAGTCAAGAGGAAATATGTCCTTTTGACACACTGTTTTTATCCACAGGTATGTTTGTTAAACTTTGCCATATTGTATTTTGTTGCTAAGATAAACTGGCATAAAAATTTAGCATGAAATATGCTGAGAAAATAAAATTGTGGAACATTTTTATTGTTTCTTTCTGACTCCACTATGGAGGAGTGGTAAATACTAACCTTAAGTCCTTCAACAAGTAGGATGTGTATTGGTTTTGAGGGTCAGATTTTGAAATAAATGTGCGTTTTATATTCTACAACATGCAGTAGATATTTTGATAATTACAATATTAATACAATACACGACCTGAACTTCCAGTTATCTATTTCTTTAAAAAAATTGCTGTTTGTCATTTTAAAGCTTTATCTATTTGCTGATAATAGATACTTGTGACTGATTAATGATTTCCAATAGTAAAAATTTAAAAAAAAGTTTTATTGCTCAAAAAAACTCGCATTTACAATAATACTTAGTAATTAGTGGAATGTCTTGAAAAATATTCATGGGTAAACAAAATAATACAATTAAGATTTTAGACAAAAACTAATAATTTCTAATAACTAGAACATTTTTACAACATGCTGATGTGTTGTTGAAGTCCTCATAATATTTAGTATTATTGAAGTTATTGTTAACGTTTTTGTCAAGATTTAAAAACTCTATGTTTCATTCAATTTCACAAACCAATCGATAAAATTTGAAAAAGCTGATTTGTTTGGAAAAATACTTTAACAAAAAAACTTTGCAGTTTAATAATTTCTTTAATCTTATATGACTTAATTTAATTTTAATTTTATAGGACTTTATGGTAAACAATATTTTTTAAGAAAATTTGTTTTTCTTTTTAACAGTGAAGAATAAATATAAGTATTTTTTACTCTTGAGTATGCAACATACAACTGGCCATGCATAAATATTTCTTTCTGGAGCTAAATTCAAATTTTTGAAGCATTTGGCCTTATGATTTGTCTATAGTTCTGACAAACACAGGGAAAATTGGAAACTGGATTCTCGTATATAAAAACTTAAAGAAAAGATATGCGAAAAACAATATTGAATAAATATTTTTTATTAAATAAATATTTGTTATTTTAATCATTAAATTGTTTTAAAATAGTGGTAGTATCTTGTATATTAAATAATAAAACTTTTAATTCTTCCCCCAAAATTAATGAAAATTTATTGTATTAAACTACACACCCTAGTAAAACCAATGGTACTTTGTAACCCCTTACCTGTTTGCACTTCTCACCAAAATTTGGTTTTGGTCAGTCAATGTATGGATATTTTAGAGGGTGTGATGGATGGACTAACGGAAGTCACAGAATTTTATATATAGATTTAAGATATAAATAAGAAGTAACATAAAATATTATCTTAAATTATCATTTGAAACAGTTCAATTAAATTCTCTTTGTCTTATGAGGAAAATGATTAGCAACTTTGATTTTTATCTAATCAGCAGCAGCTGACCATTGGATGCTATGCATACTGGCTGACGTTAGTCCTTCCACAAATTTACTCTGTATTACATCTGTAATATAATTTTATTGCAGAAAGTGATTACTACAATTGAATTTTTCATATCAAAGATGCAGGTTTTCAAAGATGTATGTCTAATTATAACTTTCAAGTATTCATTACAAACAGTATAAATTTATTGAGTTTTTCTAGAGGGCTGTATAATAAGTGAAATAAATAATATGTTAAACTTAGTAAATATAGATATTTTAAATTTTGTATGGAATAATTTTATAGGATATGCAAAGCACACGTTGCTTCTTAAAAATGTATGCTATTAATAATTATCACATGAGTGACTTATTCTGAGGTAACTTTATAATTGTGATTCTGTAGGTCTAGTCTAAAGAAGGATGATCTACAAGCTTCATTTTCTTAAAGAAATATTTTTAGCCATTGATCTGAGAAAGTGGTTGTATACTGAAGCATGCATGTATTGTAAAGCCTTGAATAATCTATATAATAATTTTTTTTTTTTTATTGGAGATCTGGGGAAAAGTGCAAATTTAATAAGATCTTTTGGAAAATTTCCTCACCCCCCCACTCCTTTTATTAGATACCTAAGAATACCTTTATTTAATTAAAGCTATTTATCTGACCTGCTGATGCTGGTTCAAATGTTGAAAAATGGATATAAAAAGCTAGCTTAATAAAAGTTTCAAACAGTCTTTCATCTACTTTTCAAATGTACTGTATAGTACAATAGTTTTCTTTGCACCCCTCACAAACTCAATACTACAAAAGTAAAACATATACTTCCTGTGCATTAAAATTTGCATTATGACATTTAAATTGGTCACCTGGAAACTAATATGCTTTCAATCAGGAAAATCAACATCAAAGGTGTTTCCTATTTAATATAAATTCAAGAACCAATAAAAAACAGGATAAATCCTTAGTGATTTGATGCCAAAAAAACGATAAAATTTTGAGTTGAGTTTTTGAAACTGGATTTACGGTGGTGAGTGCAAAATAAATTTATAAGTGCTCGACTAACTAAAAAAAAAAAAAAGAAAAAAAAAGGAATATTCAGTTATTACTACAGGTGATTAAATAAAGTAGACCTGTTGGAAGATAATTTCACTTCTTTAATTGAATTAAAAAAGAAGTGAAATAGGTTATTCTTGCTTAGAAAGGAGTGTTTTTTTTTTAAATGAATGAATGTTTTTATGCATATCTTAAACTTGGGAACTCCTCTCATGAAACAGTTTATTTTTTTTAGCATACTTGTAAAAATCTATATCACGTAATAATGGTTGCAACTCTACGTCTCCTGAATTGTTAAACGACCTTTCCTTATAGAGATTTAAAAAAAGATTAAAAATGTAATTGCATGCACTTTACAGAAATAAATCGCATCATTCCTGGAAGGAAAAAAAGCAAGCGGATGTATTCTTAAAAACAAATATGCACACAGTGAAGAAGTCAGTGAAGACTTTTATTTTTCTATCTTAAAATCCCCCAAAAAGTACCTTCGTAAAATAATCGATCAACAATATTGTGTCCACTCACACATCGTTTGCACGTGACTGATATTATTAAATACTGAATTTATTGCTGTAAGCGGCCAATATTGTAGGGAACGTGATGGCTGGTAAACATGTGCTTCTTGCATGTACAGGGAGTGTGGCTTCTATTAAAATTCCACTTATTATTCAGCAACTACAAGAAGCTGATCCTTCAGTAAGTTAAGTTCGTAGATTCATTTTAAATCTGAAATGTTTGCATAACAATATAGTTCAGTGCTTTGTTTGTAAGTAAAGTAAACAAACATTTTTGAGTTGTATATCGATATGGGTCATGCACGTTTTCTTTAGTCAACCAAAATGTTTGATAGTCATTGTTTTTTTTTTTATTGCTTTACTAACCAGTGAACGATCAAATCATTCAAGTCTTGATTGTTTCATAAAAATGCCTTGTCAACGTCAACAGGCCCTGGTGAAGACAGAGAGAAAAACATCGCTATTTTGAACAGATCGTAAACGTAATGATTAAAAAATAAATTCTTTTTTTTAAAAAAAGATCGTTTGTGAGTTTATAAGTTAGGTTTTTTAACTGGTGCCACTTTTACAATGCGATCAAAACGTTTTGAAATAAAAACGGAATGAAATGAAAACAAAACTTATCTCGGTAAAGACTAGACACATAACAACAGAATTCGTGATTCAGATTATTACGAATTCACACCAAGTTATTTTAAGTTAATTAGTATTTAGTGTCAGAGGTCGGTGTTCGAGCACGAGTAAAAGTTAGTATTTCAAATTTTGATTTTTCAAGGCCAGCTAAAAGATTGGCGAAATACAATCTTTGTGTCGCCGGATTTTGTGCCGTGTGACACTTGCTTGATGGTACTTCGTATTTTTTTAAGTCAATCAAGTTATCTTCTCTTGTCAATAAAATAAACTCAATTCTAACGCCTTTTTGAAAAGAAAGTCCTCATGGCTTTTTAAAAATTTTATGAAAAATTATAATAGTTTAAATAAGTTACACGATTTTATTGATATACTGAATTGTTGTATACATAAATATTGCACTAAAAATCCTTTTTAGTAATAGTGTTTACTTTCTGAAAAGTGACCGTTTCTTTTTTAAGAGTAGCTAAAAAATCTGTCATGAAGACAAGTTATCGATCTACAGGGCGGTCCGGAAGTCTTGTCACCCCCTACAAGAAAAAAAAAAATAATGAGAACAATAGAACAAGTTAGTAAGTAATACAGTAACAAAGCCACATATAGTGGATATATACTTTATTCACTTTCATTGACGCTGTCACACATCGAGAAGGTCTCGTGTCAGCCATATGAAACAGAAAAATAAAATTTTAATTACGGACCGTATTTGACGGCATATAAGACGCACGGGTGTAAAGACGCACCCTAATTTCAGCAGGGCAAACCAAGAAAAAAATAAAATTATTAAAATTAGTAAACCTACATATGATATATAAGACGCAGGTTAATTTTAAAAGATATTTTTAGTAAAAAAAAAAGTGCGCCTTATATGCCGTCAAATACGATATGTACGGGTGACAAAACTTTCGGACCACTCTGTAACCCGAACCGTTTTATACTTTTAGCATTTACTTTGTCTTGCAGCAAATGTCACTTTCCTGCACCCCGCCCCGTTTCATAACGAAAGTTACTCATTTCGTTTGATTTAATATTCTCGATTTTTTACTGATTAAAACTTAAACTAAAAAAAAAAATCAAATTTTTATTTAATTTTTTATTTTTGTTGAAGTGTTATTGTGGCTCGTAGTTGTAACTATTATTGTTTGTTGCGAACTCGTAACAGATGTGTGACCTTTATGGTAATTTACTTAGCGTAACTTAGATGTGGCACAAAGCTGAAAGTATGGAGCATCCAGTGAGGATCGAACTTACTACTCCAGTCGTTCGTAATTGATCTAGCGGCTAGCCAGTGAGACAAGCTTGTTAGCCGAAGTTCCTAATTTGTGATCTTTAGCATTTCAAAGTTATTATTAATTATTGAATTATTTATTTTTTAATGATTAAAAAAAGTAACTGTAAATGAAAAGTTTTTTTGAACTTTTGATGTAATAATTATTATTTGCCATAAATTTTTAGTTTTATGACAAAGAGTAGAGAGAGTATTTTTTAGATTGCAAGTTTAATGAAAGAAAATCTAGTAATTAATTAAATAATAATAATTAATTGCTAAAAAATTATCATTTTTATTTATTTTTTTTTTAGAAATGCAAAAGGATTTTTATTCTCTTTTTACCAATGAAGAATGAAATACAAAATTTCGTGTCAGAAATTTTTTCCTCTTCTTAGGTTAGGTAAATTTGTGGTAAAATAGAAAAAAATTTTTTTTTTTTGTTTTTGCTGTTATCCGTTTTTAAGGCGGTATAAATCGCTACTGTTTTCTTAAGCGTGCCCGGTAAACGGTAGTCGTGCCATTTATAAGTATAAGAATAGGAAAAGCCTGATTACCGTTTGCCGTGAATGCTAAGGAGAAGCAGTAGCGGTTTATTGCCCGCACTTACTAAATAATTTTTTTTTTTTTTTTAATTTTTAAACAAAAGAATTGAATTAAATTTCCAGTGGCGAGGTCAGTGTAATTTTTAAATTTAATTTTTTTTTATCCGAGCATTAATTTTTTTTTTTTATTGTTGCTTAGGAAATTTTTAATTCAATTGTTATAGTTAGGAAATTTAATTCAATTGCTTCGTACAAAAAAAAAAAAAAAAATAATGAGCAGACAATAATTCAATTGTTTTGGTAAAATAGAAAAGAAAAAAATTAAACTGAAAAACTGATGGAAACAAATTTTAATTTTTTGAGGCAGCCTAAAGCACTTACATCTTCTTAGTAAATGTTCTTAATTCCCCAGTGAATAATAATCACATGGATTGAATATTATACAGTGAAAATTTCAGATCAAACTTCAGCTAACTATGAGTCTACCTATAAACATTGATTCACCCTTGGGCCTTGTATCATCCATGATACTGCTGAATCAGGGAATAAGATTTCCTCAGCAGCAAGGTATTTTTTTATATTTAAGAAGTGATACAATCAGGATAGAAGTAAAGGAACTTGCAGTTTTGCTGTGCAACCAGGATAGCCGTTGATATGCGAGCAAGTGCACTAACGTTTTGTCAACTCTGTAACCTTTGCTTTTAGGGGTGGATCTGTGAAAACAGATTGAGTGTTGTCTAAGATCTTTTCGTCATATGTTGTATTGACCAAAATATTTGTCCTGTTTTTGACACTATATGGAATTAAAATCTTTTATTTTTAAATGATTTCATTCAAAAAGATTCCTTTTGACGACATTGTGCCAGCTGTCATATTGCTGAGAATTTCTTCAAATTTTGTCAATTTGTGTATTTTTGTCTATTAATTTTAACATTAAAGATGAAGAAAACAAGCATCTTTTCCAGCATTGTATGCTTTTTTTTCATTCTAAGAAAGGTAAAAATAGGACTGAATGTAAAAGAAATTATAGTTTAAGAAGGTATTGTAAATATTCAGACATGTCAAAAATGGTTTGCACAGTTTTATGCTGCAGATTTCTTACTGAGGCTCCACATTAGTGTACTGCTGTACATCTCTAGATTCTTGACAAAATCCAAAGAAGAGTTTAATCTAATTGATCCTAGCCAGGTATCTCAACTTCAGTCACTTTCTCACTGATGTGATGTGGTGTTTTATAAAGTGTTCTATTTTTTTAATTTTGCAGTCATGTAGGTTTAATGTCAGTATATTTTTTAAGGAGTAGTTAAAATAAATTGTGTGGCTTCCATGTTGATGTAAGATAGTTTGTTTTTTTTGAGAAAATATAATAGCAGAATTGAATGCAGTGAAAGAGTGATCAAACAAAAATCTGGAAAAAGTTTTGATGTGACCTGTTTTGTCTCTTAGGACTTCATTGGACTAGTCCAATGAAGCCCTAAGGGAGCATCTTTCCTCCAAATCTGTTCTTGATATATAAAATGGCTTAGGGGTAAAATCTCCGACTGATACCAAATCAATTAGGTTTTGATCCCAGCTTGAGGTAATTGGATGTCTCACCACACTGATGAGCTGTGAAACAGCAAAAGTCTGTCTGTGGGTGGCAATATATATACATGCTCCTGAAAAAAATTGGTTGAGCCTTTCAGGGAGAAAAGTGAATTTTCAAACAGTGATTATTACTTCTGCTGATGCAAGACTCTTCATTAAGATGAATTGAGTTCTGCAGTCACTGGGATGTTTGTCTAAAAATAAATATGTATAAATTCACCTTTATTCTTGCCGTGCGCCAGTGGCTTAGTGGTAACATCTCTGACTGATACCAAATCAGTCTAGTTTCAATCCTGGCTTGATGCAATTGGATGTGTCTAGCCACAATGATGAGCTGTGAAACAGCAAAACAGTCTGCTTGTGGATGACTATATATATATATATATATATATATATATGTTTAATTTAAACTGAACCCTTTATTTAGTCCATGGGGGAAGATTGACCAATTAGTACAATAGCTGAAATGTCTTGAATATGACAATAAAAATGAGGACAATAGTCCGAACAATGTAAATAGTTACAATACCTCATCTTAGAAATAGAGACAGTCAATAGGTTCCCTAATCTACTGCATTATTCAAAAATCACATGTATTAAAAACATATAAAAGTACTTATGTACATCACATCAAGGTTTTGGAGGAAGAATAACATTAGATTCCCTGTATATGGATGGATTGAGGATATTCAAGAGTTGAATGATGTTTTATAGTTGCAGATTTCTTGGTAAAAAAACTATGTATAGGAAGCTGCTGCTTCTTTCTCTTAGCTTTATCAAGCAACTATTACAGTGGCTCTTGGTCAGCTGTGATATGCAGTAAGTTTCTGGGTTACAAAAGTTCTGACCTATGATGATTTGTAGTTACAACTCAATCACCATTAATCTTGTTTGCCTTGTACATAAGGTGGCATGGGTCAGTTCCTGGTTTTACACCATATTGGATTGTTGTGCATATGCTCTCTTTAATTCATCGTGAAAACTTGTTGCCATTCATTATGGCTCCCAAGTGTAGTGTAATCTCTTCTGTTGTCAGTGCTTTGAAGAAAAGGAAAGCCATCACCATGGAAATAAAATTAGACATTGTTAAACACTCTGAAAAGGGAGAAACAGTGATTAACGAACATTGTCCAGTTGCTTGACTTAAGTCATTCGACTCTTGCTTAAAACATGTACATATGTGTGTGTGTATATATATATATATATATATATATATATATATATATATATATATAGTTTCTTTGTAAGAGATAAAGCCATTTTCTTGTTAAACTATATAAGTTAGTGAATTCCTGATAAAAAAGCCAAACAAACTCATGTTTGTTTTTCTTTCTTTCCCAGATTTGCTGCTGCTTCTGAATACTGTAAGAGACAAGAATTTAGGCTTTGTCATCTTATCTCCTGAGAGCCAATGACATCACTGGCAATAAATATACAAGCATCTTAAAACAATTTCCTTTCATTATATGCATGTCCTCCATGTATTTTCTTTAGTCCTAATTATGTTAACATATGTCATAGAAATGTGTTGTTATGTCTTAAATTATTATTTTGCTATTGCATTAGTGTAGGTGAATGATGTAAGTGCTTATTCACATAAAATTGAAGGTACTTCAGACTCACACAGAAAATTGTGTTATGACGCATTGTAGGAACGGAACTCTCTTGAGGATATATATATATATATATATATATATATATATATATAAAATATCTTCCAGAATTTTCTTACAGGATGTCTAATCTTGTTTTTACAAAGGTTTCAACTAACAAATGAGTAGAAATAAATTTACTTTTAAACTTAATTGATAAGTACAAGATTATCAGTTGATGAAGATGACTTTATTGTGTTTCAGATTATTTTATAGCTATGATTTGTATCTTTTGGAAATGCATGAAAATGTTCTGTTTTCTGAAGATAGTAAGAATATTTCATTTTTTTTTTATATTTCTAGATTGAAATTCGACTTGTTGTGACTGACAAATCTCTGCACTTTTTTGATGCAAAATCTGTTCCTGTTGACATTTACAAAGATGAGGATGAATGGAAGGTACTGAACTGAAAGAAATAATTACATTTATAAAGCCTTTGTATATATTTCATAAATTTCCTCTATCATCATTAGATGATGAAAGAAGATGAGTTTATTGTGTGTTAAGCAACTTTAAAATAACCTTTTTTTCAGCCCTTTGTAGTTTATTAAAAAATATGACTAAATATAGGTCAAGTTAATGTGAATGTTTTAAAAAATTGAACTGAATTAATTTTTCTCAACTATTAGAAATATTACTCATAAATCTTCGTTTTTATAGGGTCTGCAACATTACAACCTAATTTAATAGTTATGATATTCAATGTGATCATTATTCAATAATTTCTTGTAACTTTTGGTTTAAAACTTCATTAGTACAATGGAGTGTTTGAACACCACATAAAATATTTTTCTTTAATATTTAGTAAAGGAGGAAAATTAATTCATATGCAAAGTCATCATACCAGAGCACCAACCAACTACAAAATGACATTAAGTACTCAGAATTCATGCTACTTTTGTAGAAAAGTTTTCAAGTCAGTTGATGGGATGAAAGGAAAGGCAAACAGTCATAAGCATAGACCTAATGACAACAAAATGTATGTTCCTCATGTCTTGACAACAAGGTGGCAGCCATCATACAGGGCAGGTGCATACTGCCTGCTGGACTAGTTGGGGGTCCTGGGCAGTGCTTTGTGACCTTCTGTGGTAAATGCATGTCAGTATAGATGAAAAAGAGGTCTCAGATTGTATGCAGATATGTTTGTCAACACCAGTTACATCTGTGCATTTCCCATTAGCAGCTGGACAGTTTAGCATGTCTAGCTAGATATGGGCCACTCTGCAATTGGTCAAGATCTGGGTCTTTGTATGAGCATTTTGTTCCACAAGTTGCTGTGGTTTCTGAGGCAGTGTCATCTTTTGTTACCTTCCATCTCCTGCCCCTCTCTTCATTATCTCCTTAGTTGTTTGGAGAGGTATTGGTTAGGTGTTTCCTCCAAATCTCAATGGACTCTTTGCTTACATTACAACTTCTTCTCTATCTTATCAACATTTGCTTTTTTTCTACTTACATTTATATATGTTACAAATTAAACTAAACACAACAGACTAATAAAGGATGAAAAATTTTCATGGATTTTCACATCATTCTGGGGTCATTTTTTTTTTTTTGTAAATCTGTTTTGCTCATGTTGAGTCTCAATAAAACATTATATAAAATTAACTATTTTTTATCCATAATGTTGAATGTGTTAAAATTATTCAACTTTTTAAGAAGAAAAATCTCAAGTTGATGTTAAAAATTGCCGCAAAACATTGTTGATTTATTTAAGATGAAATGATCTATTATGACAGGTCTCTAATTTGTATTTAGTGATGTGAAGTCGAAGTTTAGCACTAGTCAGTCGCTAAGCTTGTCTTTGTCCCGTGTTATTCTCAGTGACAAGTTATATAGGCTTTCTCTTGCACTTATGCAAATTAGGCATATTAATTTTCCAGTGTCACTACATCTCCCTGAAACATATAGATTTTATACCTCTAGTAGTTCTTGTACTTCTTCTCGTGATAGTTTAATTGCTTTGCTCTACTTCTCTCTCTCTCGTATTTCTTTTTCTGGGAGACCTAGATCTGTCCCGCGCTAAGCTGTAATCATAGGCATCTTCTTGCATTATTTGATCTTCGTCTGAACTTTCAAACTCATTCTGGCCCACTTGATCCTGCATTATTTCATCTTCTGATGTTTCATTCTGTAACGGTTGTTCTAATAAATCATTAACGGATGGAATCGTAGACATTTCTTCTTCATTTTGCTCTTCATATTCACCCTGGGTCCTTATTTGATCTGCATGGGCTAATACACTGTTGCCATTTTCTCTAATTATTATAGCTGTATTGTGGCCTTTTTGCATGATAAATTCTGCCCTTTCCGGATTTGCTTCTTTGTTCTTTTTGTACCACATTTTTTCATTTGTGGAATACAACATCGTTAGCAGAGCTCTAATTTGTCTTCCCATTAAAGCTGATGGGCTTTCTAGTCTTCCAGCGTGTGGTATTGTGCGATAGCTTAAAAGCAGCCTCGGTAGAAAAACTTAACCTTCTAACCCGTTTGACTGAGGGTGATATGGGGGTGTCTTATACGGTTTACATCCTATTTTTTCTAACCATAAATTAAGATCTTCATCACAAAATTCTGGTGTGTTGTCAGATACCAGGGTTTTTGGTATGCCGTTTCTGGAAAATATGACCCTTAGAATCTTTTTTTTCATAGAACTTTTCTTGTCTGGCACCCGGATTATTTCAGGCCAGCCTGAAAAAGAGTCTACTAGGATTAATAAGAGTCCCACTCCAGTAATATACTCATGATCCATATGCACCCTACTCCATGGCTCCACTTCTCTGGGTCATGAATGTAAAGTAGTCTGTGTAAAGTTTCTTAATTCTTTACATTTTGGCACCTTTTTATATATTCTTTGACATCTCTTGAATATCCTGGCCACCATGCTTCTAATTTTATCCTTTTTTGTGTGGCCGCTACTCCACAGTGTATATCATCATGTACACTTTTTATTACCAATTTTCTTTGTGTTTCTGGGGGAACTTTAGATCCCCATTACAAATCACTCCATGTTCTATCATTAATTTCTGTCTTATTTCTTTGTAGGGTCTTTCCGCCCTAGTACAATTTCCCCATGAGTTTTTTCTTATTCTCGATATTATCCTACTTAGTACTGGATCATGTCTAGTTTCCGCAGACTTTCTATCTAAAGACAAAACATCAGTCTCTACCCAATGTAAGAATGCATCTTCAGATTCTTCTTCTGTTTTATCTTTTGACTCCTTGTAAAATCGCAATCTTGATAGTGCATCTACATGTGGAATTGAATTTTCTTTGACATATTCTATATCAAAGTCAAATGACATTAATCTTATTACCCATCTTAGTATCCTCGATGTCGTGACTTTGGATAATTCTTTCCTTGGGTTAAATATAAACTCTAATGGTCTATGATCACTTTTTAACAGAAATTTTTTCCCAATTAAAAATTGTCGGGCTCTAGTAGTTGTCCACACGATAGCCAATGCTTCTTTCTCTATATTTGAATAATTAAATTTGGTGTTCATTAGTCTTCTTGATAAATACATTATTGGATGTCCTTCTTGTGATAATATTCCTGATATCCAATGTTTGCTTGCATCTGTGGTTAACGTAATGTCCTTTTTTAGATCAAACATTTTCACTACTGGTTTCTTTGCCATAATTACTTTTAATCTATCAAAAGCTTTTTGTTGTTCCTCTGACCAAATAAATTCAACATTCTTTTTTCTTAAATTTGCAAACGGTTCAGTCAAGTCCGTGTATTTTGGTAAATATCGCTTGTAAAAATTCACCAATCCCAAAAAAGACTCCAGTTCTTTTTTATTTGTAGGTGTAGCTACTTTTAGTATTTTTTCTATCAAAGCTTGGTCTGGTGATATACGTTCTTTTGAAATGGAAATACCTAAAAAAGATATTTTACTACAATTGCTTACGCATTTTTTTCATTTATTGTGATTCCAGCATTTCTTAATCTATTCAAGATTATGTCGGTTTTCTTTTTTAATTCATTTTCATTAGTAGCTCCTATGCATATATCGTCTTGGTAACAAATCATATTTTTCATATTTTCTAAAACCTGTTTGTTGGCCCTTTGAAATATAGCGCTTGTGGTTTTTATTCCATATGGCATCCTTTTCCATCTTAGTAACCCTATTGGCATATTTATCATGGTTACTTCTTTGAAGTTATCGTCTATTGGTATTTGGTGGTATGCCGTTTTTAAATCTATTTTTGTAAAAATGCTCATTCCTGCCAGTGCATGTAATGCAACTTCAACATTCAGTATGGGATATGAATCCGAACAAACTTACGCCTATTTTGTAATCTCCACAAATATGTAAATCACCATCTGTCTTCCTCAAAACTACAATGGGTGATGCCCACTTGCTATCCCCAGGGGGAACATGTTTGAGAAGGTCTTGTTCTATTAATTTTTGTAGTTTTGTTACTACTAATGGCAACAAATGTACTGGTAATTTTTGTGCCTCATAATAAGAGGGGGAGACATTTTCTTTTAATTTTAAACTCGCTTTATAGTTTTTTAACTTTCCGTTTTTTTCCATTTTTATCTCATTAATTAATTTGGTAGAATTTATGTTAAGCACGTCATTTCCAAGAAGTCTGTGGTTCTTTTTACAACTTGTGACAATTATAGGTATTACTTCAAATTTATCTTCTAACTCCAAGGACCCTTCAAAGTATCCTAAAGTTTTTATGACCGACCCATCAAATTGGCAGAGTTGTAAACTGCTCTTTCGTAAAGGTGGATTTCCAATGAGTTCCCAAAAATCTTTTGGTATCAGCATTACTTCACTCCCAGTATCAATTTGCATATCTAGATTGCAGTTGTTGATTTTAACCTTTAGTATAATGTCTTTTTTCTTTTGTTCAATTTTTTCTAGATTCTTATTTTTTAATGTAAAGACTTCCATTTTCAACGTTTTTCTTTTTGAATTTGCATACTGCTTGAAAGTGGTTCTTTTTTAAGCAATTTGTACAGGTTTTTCCAAATGCTGGGCATTTTTCCTTTTTTATTTCGTGTTCACGTCCACAATACGAACATTTTCTTATCTTTTTTAACATGTATGTATCAGCGAATATTTGTTCGCTGGGTTGACTTTTATGATGGTTGTATTTCTGTATTAATTCTTGTTGCTGTATAAAGTCAATGCATGTATTTAAAGACATATTTCCTATTTGTAGTTGTTCCATTATTTTATATCGGTGTGATACATTGCACATACCTTCAATTAACCTTAATTGAATTAAGTCCTCTTCAATAGTTTGTTCGTCTTGTCCAAGTTTTTCAAATTCGCAATATCTACTTGCATTTTGTAGACGGTGTAGATATTTTATAATTGGTTCATCAATTTCTTGTTTCATCGACATGAACTTCATTCTTTCTGCCAATACCAGCCTT